GCACACCACGCTGATCCAAAGCCAGGAGCCAGGTGCTTCTCCTGGTCTCCCATGGGATGCAGGGCCCAGGGACTTGGGCCATCCTCCATTGCACTCCCAGGCCCCAGCAGAGAGCTGGACTGGAAGAGGAGCAACCTGGACAGAATCTGGCGCCCCTACCAGGACTAGAACCCGGGGTGCCGGCGCCACAGGTAGAGGATTAGCCTATTGAGCCACGGCGCTGGCCGTCAAGAGCTTTTATGCATGGAGCTGGCATTCTAAAGAAGCAACCCAGACAGAAATGGTAGACTCAGCTAAAGGCAAGAACAGAGGCAAAGAACTGACAGGTGAAGAGCGTAATGGGAATCATACAGAGTTTCCCATAACGCAGTCTCTCCCACGCCTTTACTGCAGAACTATTTGCAATAGGTTCTTCCATTTGCGGAGTAGTTTGGGACTGCAACTGAGTTTATTAACCCTCTGCCCCACCTCAAAATGGCTACCACACCTTAAGCAGAGGACCTGCATTAGATTTATATTTATATTATACTAATAAGAGTTGAATACAGGAATTGAAGACACGGTGGTTGGTCCAGAAGTCAGGCTTGACCAATTAGAGCCCTTCCTTTGATTTTTTTTTTTCTAAAAGATTTATTTATTTGCAAGGCAGAGGCAGAGACAGAGACAGAGACAGAGAAAGAAGTCTTCCATCTGTTGGTTCACTCCCCAAGTGGCCTCAACAGCCGGAGCTGGGCCAATCCAAATCCAGGACCCAGGAGCTTCTTCCTGGTCTCCCACATGGGTGCAGGGGCACAAGGATTTGAGCCATCTTCCACTGCCTAACCAGGTCATAGCAGAGAGTTGAATTGGAAGTGGAGTAACCGGGACTTGAACCAGTGTCCATATGGGATACCAGCACTACAACCAGCGGTTTTACCTGCTGTGCCACAGTGCTGGCCCCAAGTTAAACTTTTATAGCTCACCATATGATAAGGGTTCTAAGCACCCTCGCATGTTTTGTTTTCTCAACCATGCAGTAAAGGTGTTGAGAATAAGAGTTCATCTCTCACTGTTTCAGTAGCCTCCATGGTATCCACTATGGTGTTTGGTGCCAGGCTCTAAATCAATTAATGATGCTTTTGAGATAAAGTTCTTACTGTCTCTCCCAATTCATATTCAAACAAGACAGGTATAGGAAGAATTCTGGTAAAAATGGAGCTGAGAGTGTTAGACAGGTGAACTGAGGTGATGGTGGCTCCTATCATGGCCAGACTCCAAGTTATGGAAATAAAAGGAAAAATCCTGATGAAGGAAACATGGAAGAGCTTTTCAAAATGGCATCAGGAGGAAACTGGGGAAGCAAGACTGATAAAACAATTCCAGCTCCTCCTGGAGTGTACACTGTTTCCCTTATACTTTAACTACAGCTTTCTAGAACAAACAGTTATATTGTGTCCAGAGATTCAACATTAATATTAAGGGTTTACCAAATTCTTGTTTTATTGACAATTTTACTAAGTACATATATTCTTTTTTTTATTGTCTACTGGTCTCATGACCCCTGTCACACAGCCCCTGTTCTCAATTGCGAAAGAGTTCTCCCAATGGGGCCGGTGCCATGGTGCACTAGGTTGATCCTCCGCCTGCGGCACTGGCATCCCGTATGGGCGCCAGTTCTAGTCCTGGCTGCTCCTCTTCCAGTCCAGCTCTCTGCTGTGACCCAGGAGAGCAGTGGAGGATGGCCCAGGTGCTTAGGCCCCTGCACCCACGTGGGAGACAAGGAAGAGGCATCTGGCTCCTGGCTTCGGATCGGCACAGCTCCAGCCATTGCGGCCATTTGGGGAGTGAACCAACGGAAAGAAGACCTTTCTCTCTGTCTGTCTGTCTGTCTCTCTCTCTGTCTAATTTTACCTGTCAAATAAATAAAATCTTAAAAAAAAAAGAGTTCTCACAACAAAAGATTCTTTACTATTTTAAAGTAAAACACTGTTTTCTCATATAAGTTCCCACCTTTCTAAGTTCCCTGCCTTTTTTGGAACACTTGAGAGCTAGCTGAATCTGTATTTTCTAAATTACATCCTAATATCTTTCTAACATTTGCAGCTTCCTGCATTTCAATTGATTGACAAAAGTGGCCCCCTATAGTGCTGATCCCCTGATGTTCAAGCATTATAAACCCCTTCTATCCTATGTCAGGACAAACAGCTTACAACAGATGAGATGGACTTTCAGTTTTGGTATTCAGGTATGAAAGGATAGTTTCCATCTTGGGAACTCTCTAGCTTCATGGTTCTCTTGCTGGGATACCACTGGGTCTGGAGAAAGCCAGAGACCACATTATGAGCAATCCAATGGACAGCCCATTGGGCAAGTAACTGAAGTGTCCAACAACTGCCAGTGAGGAGCTAGAGGCTGCTGAAAACCATAAGTAAACCAGTTCCCATGGTCCTATAAATAAGTCAAGGATCCAGAGGCATCTAAGATGACAATTTAGCATCCAGGCATTACATAGTCTCAGTTGCAGAGTTGACACTGGGGGCCAGAAAGTAAACAAACAAACAAAATGTCACAAAAGAAAAGGGGTTGATGAGATCCAGAGATCTTGGAAGGAAATCAGAAAGTCATTTTTGCTATGAACCAATCAGGTTTTGGGGACAAGAAATTCAATGCCAATGTAAGAAACAGAACACTGAGGTCTTAATAGCTCTAACTGGCAAGTATCTAAAAGCCAAAAGGCCATGAGAAATCAGAATATGAACAATAGTTCATCCTAGGATGAGAATGATTTGTCCTGGATTCCAATGACTTTATATTAAGTGTGTGTGTGGATCTGTGTCTAAAAGAAAACAGCAGAACGTTGTGAAAATATGAATGACTGGGGCTGGCGCCGTGGCTCACTTGGTTAATCCTCCGCCTGCGGCGCTGGCATCCCATATGGGCACCGGGTTCTAGTCCCGGCTGCTCTTCTTCCAGTCCAGCTCTATACTGTGGCCCAGGAGGGCAGTGGAGGATGGCCCAAGTGCTTGGGCGCCTGTACCCACATTGGAAACCAGGAAGAATCATCTAGCTCCTGGCTTTGGATCAGCATAGCTCTGGCTGTGGAGGCCATTTGGGGAGTGAATCAATGGAAGGAAGACATTTCTCTCTGTCTAACTATATGTCAAAAAAAAAAAAAAAATGATCAGTGTGTCATCTACTGCCAGGGCAGAGGCTGGAGACTTTAAGGCCAGGTTACAAACTTTTCTTCAGGAATTTACATTTGCCAGATGTCTAGCAATTGATACTGACCAAACCATAAACACATGTCTCCTCATCAGACACTTCACTCCCAATGGTTCACTGACACTCTTGTCCATGTTTTCCAGTGCTGGATTGCCTGTCCCCTTCTTCCTTGACTTTTTCAAATAGTACTGGCTCTGTTACATTCCACATATACCTCTCGTAATGTGTGATATTTTGACCAGCCTTCTAGTTTATGCTAGTTTTTCCATTCTCTGAAACCCTCTGGTACTTAGGATGTAAACCACAGAATTTAGTGCTTGGTTGTATATTGTGTTATTGATTTTTCTTCAAAATGTTTCATCTTTTCCTAAGACTATAAGACCTACTTCTTTGGAAGTAGCAAAGTCAATGGTTTCCAAATCCAACCACATATTAAAATCACCTTTGATGTCTTTTCAAAGATTTCTTTTAAAAAGAGATTCTAAGTCTCTGTGTCCAATTTATTGAGTCAGAATTTGGGAGGCTGGAGTCCAGGAGAATATCAAATTAACTGCTCCTGAGATGGTTGTTGCAAAGTTATAACTGCACAGCTGCACAGAATTATGTTGGGTACTCCATTAAATATTCATGAAGCATTTTCTGATAAACTGAACTGACTCTTCTAATCTGATACACTGGTTTTCCTTAATGATAGATGTTACAGAAATAGGAAAATAGCATAGGCCAAATGGACTGAAGTCTGACTACATAAAGTTGACTTGCTCATTTCTTGCTTGGTTAGAATTAAAATCTTTATGCATCCAAAGTAGAGAAATGGATAGATATAAAGATAAAGCAAATATAGGAAAATATTAATAGTATAGTCCAGGTGATAAGTATATAAGCATTTATTTAAAATTCTTTCAATTTTACTATACATTCAACTTTTTCTTAATAAAGTGTTAAAAATGAAAAAAAAATCTACACCTTGAGAATATTCAAACTAAATTTATTCCCACTGGATTATATTAGTCCATCCTTTCTTTTCTCCCATCCTTCCACCTTCCTTCTCATTTTTGAGTATAGTCACTAAAACAATCTTAAAAGTATAGGAATAGGTCTCTTAGAACTGAGCTTAGCTGGGTATTTTATGAATGAAATATTTTAATCTTGCAAAAACACTAGCTCTAAAACTTGACCATCAATACTTTACTAAAACAAATCGATCTACATGAAATAATTCCATACTTTGATAAAGTCAATGAAAGATATGAGAAGGGGGCTGGTGCTGTGATGTAGCAGGTAATCTGACGCCTACAGTGCAAGAATTCCATATGGGTGTTGGTTCAAGTACCAGCTGCTCCACTTCCAATCCAGCTCTCTGCTATGGCCTGGGAAAGCAGTAGAAGATGGCCCAAGTAGAGATGCAGAAGAAGCTCCAGACTCCTGGCTTTGGATTGGCTCAGCTCCATCCATTTCAGCCATCTGGGGAGTGAATCAGCAGATGGAAGACCTCTCTCTCTCTCTCTCTTTCTCTCTCTCTGCCTCTGCCTCTCTGTAACTCTACTTTAACAATGGGAATATTATATGTACCCCCATGTTTATTACAGCTCAATTCACGATAGGTAAAAAATAGAATCAACCCAAATGCCTGTGAACTGTAGACTAGATAAAGAAATTATGGGATATATACACCATGGAGTACTACACAGCAGAGGGAGGGAGGGAGAGGGAGGGAGAGGGAGGGAGAGGAAGGAAGAGGAAGGAAGAAGAAGGAAGAAGAAGGAAGAAGAGAGGGAGGAGAGGGAGGGAGAGGGAGGGAGAGGGAGGGGTTAAATCATGTTGGTGGGAATGTAAAGTAATATAACCAGTACAGTAAATATGGAGGTGTCTCCAAAAACTAGAAATAGAACTACCATATAATCTAGCAATCCCGCTGCTGAGTATACTATTATAGCCAAATGAAACAAAATCAGTAGGAGTAGGTTGAAGAGATGTCTGCACTTGTGTGTTTATTACAGTGCTATTCACAGTAGCCAAAATATAGAATCTACCCAGATACTCCTTGATGGATGAATGGATAAAGAAAATGTGGCATATGCATGCAATAGAATATTATTCAACCACAAAATAGAACAAGATTCTGTCCTTTACAGCAATATGGATAGAGCTGGAGGGCATTGAGTGAAGTAAAGTAAGTCAGGCACTGAGACACAAATATTGCATGGCATGTTCACTCTCATATGATCTCATGGAAGGAGAGAGTAGAGTGAGGACAGGGGATAGCAAGGGAGGATGAAGAGAGGATGCTTAACAGTTACAAGACTACAGCTGGATAAGAGAATAACACCAAATGTTCTAGAGTGTGGAATAACCATAGCTGACAATAATTAACCATACATTCCAAGATAGCTAGCACAGGGAATGTTGAATGTTCCCACCACAAAAAAATGATAAAGGTCTGAAATGATGGATATGCCAACTACCCTGATCTGATAAACATGCATTATATACATGTATTATAATAAAATATATCTACCCCATAAATATGTAGAATTATAATGTATTAATTCAAAGTAAAAATACATATGCCAACAAGTTCCTCCTCTAAAAATGACATTAATTTGTTTTCTTCCCCAAATAATTACCAGTAAGACACTTCCCCACCAACAAATGAGATAATTTACTATTCATCAAATGCATCTTGCACTTTCTTGCCCCCATGTCTTTTAATCACTCCTCCTACCAAATGCTCTAATAATACTCCCTTCACCCAACTATTTTCACCCTAACTACACTTTTTGTACTTATCCCAGTCATTCTGATGTGGGGTAACTAGGCGAAGAGCAGGGTCCAGGTGAGCTGGAATTTTTGCTAGTCCTGAAAGGTAACTTAATCTCTTCACCTGTCAGGTTGATATACCCACATTCCCAAGGTGCACTTAGGTCTCATCTGGGACCAGGAAGGAGAAGACAACATGATGAACACATGGAAGTTAAATTCCATGTGGAGGTGCCATTAAAATCCCAGATGGCTTCATGCATCCTAAGACCCCACTCCATTTGTTCCCTCAATTAAGGCACCAATCTACCTCAAAGACACTGAGAATACATAGAGCAAGCATACTACTTGCTAGAGTAGTACTCAGACTTCCTCTTACTCTTTCTCTCTCCCCTCAGAAGCAAAGCTCTGGCCTACACATGAGGGGTGGCCTACGCTCACCCATGGATGTGTGTTCATTCTCACTTTTAAATAAAACCTGTTATTTGTGCACGCTATATATGTCTCAACTTTGACTTCTTCTAACTGGGGGAGAGATAGGTGCAAGAACTTGGATCCTAGGCCCATATCAATTCTTCCTCTGTGAAGCCTTGCAGACCACTTCATCCCAGAGTCACTTCTCTGCGTCCTGAATTTCTTAGATATATACACCATGAAATAGTTATTTGGAAATCAGTGAGAAAGTCTTTCTTATAGTTTCTAAATCATCACTCACTGACAATTCATCTTACCAGTTGTTTTGAATCCTTTTAGATACAGAAAACGTTCTCATATTTCTTTGTGAGCTCTACAATGTCCTACACCGGGAGGACAGTGTGCACTTCTAGCATGATTATTGTTTCTTTATGGGAAAAGAACCAGGAAAAAGACACACAAAGCAACAGTTAATATTTACCAAGAGTTTACTTATCTACCAGATACTTAGTGCTCAAACTACTATTTATATATTATATGACTTACTCTTCTTGACATATTGGGAGATAAGAAAATCTTACCATTTTACAGCTGAGGGGCGTCAGGCACAGAGCAGTTGAGTGTATGGACCATGGTCCTGCAGCTAGCAAGTGACAGAGCATTTGAAGTCAGCTGCCTGATTGGCTCCAGAGCCATGTTCCTAACAGCTATGTAGATGTCAAGGCAGAGGGCGAGTACCTCTCTGGTGGGGACGGAGTATTTGTTCTGACGAGTTTTCATCCCCTACACAAGTATCCCAGACAAGCTGTGCTTTGTGAAATTTGCCCACTTTCAAATCAAAATTTGCTTCTCTGCACCACACGGCCTCCCACCCCCAGGTTGAGTTCAGGCTTCTGGTGAATCCTGGAAGTTCTGCCCTACTTGAAAGTCTGGTTCGACTGCAAATGGTCTTATCTGCCTTGTTTCTAAACCTGGGGGCAAACACAAATAGCTCAGTCCTATCTGTTCCCATTTGAGCTTGTGGTAAGGGAAAAAATGACATTGTAACAAAGGTAGGCAGAAAACCACAATCTTTAAGATAATCAAATATTAAGACAAATGTAGTATTTTGTATAAGGGAAATATTCTTCTCAAACTAATTGCCAGAATAACCCTAACTTTAAAAAAAAAAGGCAAACATTTATTTGGTCAAAATTCCTATGTATTTCATGAAGTTAATTTAACTATCAGAAGCTGCAAGGCCACCACAATACTTGGTCACCTTGCTTTGACCTGTGGCCTAAAATTAAGACAAGGAACTTAAACTATTACAACAATAAAAAGAAAACCCACCACGTAGTGGTAATCATTAACCATTTCCTTCTTAAAGAGAGATATTTTAGACTGTAGGAAAACCACATGACACAGTAAGGCAAAATATGTAGCTGCATTAAGAGCCTCTTAGCCTAAACTGCATTAAATGCACTGATTTCACCAGTCTCCCTTTAAGGGATATTTGGGACATTCATAACTTAGAAGAAACTTAATTATGAAATAATGCATTCAGGAATTTCCCCATATTCACATGAAAAATTAACATTAATAGCAATAGTGTTTCCCTCCACAGCACATGCCCCTGACTGTCCCAGTTAATTAAAGCTTACACAGTGCCTTTAGCCTTGGGGAATCCTTTGATTCATATAGCACACCATCGTCCTCTGTTCTCAAAGACGCTGTACTGGCAGTTCTATTTCCCTGATGAGCTGAAGTGATTGAACCAAAGAATGCAAAACAAGCAGTCCTAACCCTGGTGTTTCCCCTTATAGTCTGTCCTTGGGAGGGGATGTGATTCTCTGGTTGGCCAGAAGGTGATGAAGAACCTGCAAGAGGATGGAGTGTGAGCACCTAGAAAGGATCTTGAGATATAATTTTGAAGCAAAAGTATGTAATCTTATGCTTAAATTATACATTATGCTGTCCTAGTTTCACAAATGGTTAAGCTGATGACAAAGCTGCATTTGCAAGGAAGAAAGAGAGGGAGGGAAGGAGGCAGGGAGAGAGCAGAAAGGAAGAATCACTGATCACCAGAATTCTCAGACTTTGTTCTCATCATGGTTATAACCAGCACAATAGGACAGCAAGCCTCCAAAGTCAAGTCTATCACCAAAATGTAAGGAGATGTTCAGAAAATATCATGTCTGCAATAGAATCCAAGAATCATAGGGGAGTGGGTTATGGGAAGAGAGAGAAAAGAAATAACCCTACATATTAAAGGAACCAAGTTAGAGATGCTTTGAAAGTATGGCACCATTGAAATTAATTTACTTTACAATTCTGTTTGGGAAGACAATATCAGCCATAGCGTGTTCTGAGTATTGTAAGGTGACTTACAGCAATGTGGCTGCTCAGCTGTTACCAGGTTCTTTGCGCTAACATTGGGTAACACTTTGGTAACCATTAGTACTATTTACAAACATTCAAATTACTTCCCTCTCAGAAACATGTACTTCCTGGCATGAGCATTTGACCAGTCCTAGGTAGTGAGTTGTAAGAAGGCTTTTAATGGGGCCAGTGCCATGGCTCACATGGCTAATCCTCCACCTGCAGCAACGGCACCCCAGGTTCTAGTCCTGGTTGGGGCGCCAGGTACTAGTCCCGGTTGCTCCTCTTCCAATCCAGCTCTCTGCTGTGGCCGGGGAGGGCAGTGGAGGATGACCCAAGTGCTTGGGTCCCTGCACCTGCATGGGAGACTGGGAGGAAGCACGTGCCTCCTGGCTTCAGACCGGCACAGTGCCAGCTGTGGCAGCCATTAGGGGAGTGAACCAACAGAAGAAAGACCTTTCTCTCTGTCTCTCTTTTACTCTCTAACTCTGCCTGTCAAAAAAAAAAAAAAAAAGAAAGAAAAAAAGTCCTTTAATGGACACCACCATCACACCTGCCAGCGCTCTTGCCCATGTGCACTATAAGCGTTTTGCTCCAGATGGCCATCGTAAAGGTGACATCAGCCACAGTGCAGAGCACAGCTCTTAGCTGATCCACTGCAGACGGGTAGAGTGAGCAAGAAAGAAAAAATGTTGCTTTAAGCCACAGCAAGTCCCAGCCCAGGGGTTCTCAAAGAGCAGTCCTCAATCAGCAGTGTCAGTATCACCTGGAACCTTATGCATAGGTAAATTCTCCAGCTCCCTCCTACAAGACCTACAGACACCAAGACCTACAGACACAGAGCTCAGGGCCTGCACAAAGCTATTTGCATCTTAACCAGATCTCTGGGTAATGCTGATGTTCACAAAGGTAGAGAACTAAGGACCTAAGAAATTATCCCTCTGGACACAGAACTGCATGCCCCTTGCTGAACACCAGGTGGTAGATTACAACACAAGCAAGTCTTACTTCATTTTCTCACAAATGTGGAAATAGTTACTAGCAAGCAGGTGCCAAATAGTCACAAGACCTGATCTCATAGCTCAGGAAGCTCTCCTCTGTGGCATACTGACTAATACCTTGTACAAAATTTTACTCTCAGTCAGATTATAAGATAGGTTTTTAGACAGGCCCATCCAGGTCTGGGAAGGTGTCAGCATCCTCCACAAAACAGAGTGGTACAGGATAACATGGCTCAAGACCTTGATCAGTGCACTGACAATATCAGCCCCCAAGGCTTCCTGGATTCTACACTGAAGACACTAGGACTCATCCAATGTTTCTAACCAGTCTGAGCTTGAAAATCATTCACTTCACCATTGAAAAATTTTGGCCTACCTCCCAGTTGCTAATTAATACATCTTTGAGTGTATGTTTCAAAGGACTTAAATCAGTAAGTGAAGAGTCAGATGCTTGCTACAATAATCTCAATGCCAACTTTGCATCCTAGAATACAGATTCTGACTAAGGAACTTCATCTGCCTTGAAGTTATGGACTAACACAGAGGTGCCACAATGTTTGCACATAAGGAAACATGATTGTAGCAGATCAGTTTCTAAAGGATTTAGTGACAGAAGAAAACAAGGTCTGAATCCATCATGGTCTGAAACTCCAGCACAACTCAGAAAAGTCCTCCAAGAACCAGGACTGCCTATCTGGATAGAAATGTTTGTAGAGCACAAAGGCTATTTGTCAAGCTACTATAGTTCCTTGGCCATATCTATTGTCCAATGATATAATTTCATATCCACCAAGCAAGCTGTTATTGCTTGATCTCCTCATTTAACCAATTTCTCTGTCAGAGAATATCCTAAGAAAAAAAAGGCAATTCCCATTATTGCACCAGAGAGCTTAAAATTTAGTATTAAAATTATCTTTCTGGTTTTTAAATCAGCATACTGTAGGTTCGGTTGGAGTGATGAACTGAATAACCCAGCCACCAACCCTCAAAGGGGTCCACATCCTAATCTCAGAACCAATACATATATTACATTACAGTTCAGGAGAAATGTGATTAGGTTAGGGATTTGGGGAAGAGAGAGTTATCCTGGATTATCCTTGTAAATGCAGTACAATCAAAATGGCCCTCACAGGAGGGCCCAGGAGGTCGAAGTCAGGGATACAGATGTAAGGATTGGAGCCAAGTTCAGACTCTCAGAGAGGATTTGAAGATGCTATAAGGCTGGCTTGGAATATGAACGATGGGGCCATGAGCCAAGGAAGCCAGGTGGCCTTGAAAAGCTGGAAAAGACCAGAAAACAGATCCTCCCAGAGAGACTCAGGGAGAAGCCAGCCTGACAGACATTTTGACCCAAGCCAAGGAAGACTGGTTTCAACTTCCAACCTCCAAAAATATAAGATAATAAATGTATGTTTTCTAAGCCGTTATGTTTAGAGTAATGTGTTATAGCAGCAAGCCAAAATGAATGTAGACAGTATTATTTAATTTTCCAAAATATGACGAACTCCAGATGAACAAAAATGTTAAATTCCTAAAACATGAAGCTGAGCACTTAGGCTAGGATGAATCTCTGTGACAACCTCTCGTTCTCTCTCTCTCTCCCTCTCTCCCTCCCTCCCTCCCTGCCTTCCACCCTCCTTCTCTCCCCTGTCCGTCCTCCCTGCCTGAGAAAAATAGAAAGTAGGATTCATCTTGGAACTGTATTCCTTACTCTGAGCTTCAAAAATGATGAAAGACCACATCATTTCTGTAGGTTTACATATCTTACACCTTCAATTGTCTGTAACCAAAAAAAGTCCAGAATTTTCAAAACTAGCTAAATAAGATACAACACATTCTATTCATGAAATTTCCTCCATTTGACTCCCCAGGAGAATATAACACCATGCCTTTCACTCTTACGTGAATTCCTGTAAGCTTAGTAGTCTGCTTGTCTAGTCCACTGTAATATCTGAAGCCACAGGTTAGAAAAGGAGTAGGAGGAGTAGATTTATAATTGAGACAGATCATCTGCAAAAAAGAAATGAGATGGCAACGTGACAGCAAGAATGAACAAAAAAACTCTTTAAAAATAGACATCAGACGCTGAGGCGGCTCTGGTCGCTGTAGTCGCCAGCTTGCTTTCTTTTTTTGTCCGCTGCTGGGTCAGCCATGGCGGCCGTGAAGACCCTGAATCCCAAGGCCGAGGTGGCCAGAGCCCAGGCGGCGTTGGCGGTCAATATCAGCGCGGCACGGGGACTGCAGGACGTGCTGAGGACCAACTTGGGGCCTAAGGGCACCATGAAGATGCTTGTTTCCGGCGCTGGCGATATCAAGCTCACCAAAGACGGCAACATGCTGCTGCATGAAATGCAAATTCAACACCCAACTGCCTCCTTAATAGCAAAAGTAGCAACAGCCCAGGATGACATAACTGGCGATGGTACTACTTCAAATGTCCTTATCATTGGAGAGTTACTGAAGCAGGCGGATCTCTACATTTCTGAGGGTCTTCATCCCAGAATAATTACTGAAGGGTTTGAAGCTGCAAAGGAAAAAGCCCTTCAGGTTTTGGAACAAATCAAAGTAAGCAGAGAGATGGACAGGGAAACACTTATAGATGTGGCCAGGACCTCTCTGCGTACTAAAGTTCATGCTGAACTTGCAGATGTCTTAACAGAGGCTGTAGTGGACTCCATTTTGGCCATTAAAAAACAAGATGAACCTATTGACCTCTTCATGGTTGAGATCATGGAGATGAAACATAAATCTGAAACTGATACAAGCTTAATCAGGGGACTTGTTTTGGACCATGGGGCACGGCATCCAGATATGAAGAGTAGAAGATGCGTACATCCTCACATGCAATGTGTCATTGGAATATGAAAAAACGGAAGTGAATTCTGGCTTTTTTTACAAGAGTGCGGAAGAGAGAGAAAAACTAGTAAAAGCTGAAAGAAAATTCATTGAAGATAGAGTTAAAAAAATAGTAGAACTGAAAAAGAAAGTCTGTGGTGATTCAGATAAAGGATTTGTTGTTATTAATCAAAAGGGAATTGACCCCTTTTCCTTAGATGCTCTTGCAAAAGAAGGCATAGTAGCTCTGCGCAGGGCTAAAAGGAGAAATATGGAGAGGCTGACTCTTGCTTGTGGTGGAGTACCTCTGAATTCTCTAGATGACCTAAATCCTGATTGTTTGGGACATGCAGGACTTGTGTATGAATATACATTGGGAGAAGAGAAGTTCACCTTTATTGAGAAATGTAACAATCCTCGCTCTGTCACATTATTGGTCAAAGGACCAAATAAGCACACACTTACTCAAATCAAAGATGCGATAAGAGATGGCTTGAGGGCTGTCAAAAATGCTATTGATGATGGCTGTGTGGTTCCAGGTGCTGGTGCAGTAGAAGTGGCAATGGCAGAAGCCCTGATAAAATACAAATCCAGTGTAAAGGGCAGGGCCCAACTTGGAGTTCAAGCATTTGCTGATGCATTGCTCATTATTCCCAAGGTTCTTGCTCAGAACTCTGGCTTTGACCTTCAGGAAACATTAGTTAAAATTCGAACAGAACATTCTGAATCAGGTCAACTTGTGGGTGTGGACTTGAACACAGGGGAGCCAATGGTGGCAGCAGAAGTAGGCATTTGGGATAACTATTGTGTGAAGAAACAGCTTCTTCACTCCTGCACTGTGATTGCAACCAACATTCTCTTGGTTGATGAGATCATGCGAGCTGGAATGTCTTCTCTCAAAGGTTGAATTGCAGCTTCTCTTGTGTCTGAATTTTGAAGACTCCAGAGTGATCCTGAAAAACAGCTGTGGGATTTTTGTCCAAGTTCCAAATGATTTTCAAAAGAATTTTCTTTGCCCATTGGGGGGAGGGGAGAACAATACTGGCACCTATTCAAATTACAATGTTCTGAAATTATGATTACAGTATTTTTTAAATTGCACTGAATATATACACATGAAGCAAATCCTTTTACCCAGTGAACAGGATGTTTTGCTTTAGCTGTAGTAGCAAACTTACATGTTAGTAAGCATATGTTATTTACTTTATTAAAATTCCTTGGGAAAAAAAAAAAATAGACATCAGAATGTAGGAAGAAAATAAGGCAGCAGCCTGGGGACTTTTGTGAAGGACCTAGTAGACTATTCACAGTAGTTTCTGGACATATCATTGTGCATTACGTGCATTAAATGAAAGTGCAATAGCTGGGCTTCGTAATGATGAGCCTACCTTACCAACATAACATTAGACTGAAATTTTTATAAAATCTTAATAAGGCAGAGAAGTATGCTCTGTAGCTTAAAAAGATGATCAAATACACATTTTAGTGTTTAAAGGGAAAAGATCCCTTAATAAGTAGCTTCTCCTTCCCTAACTATACCAAAGAAATGGCATTAAAACATTATTAATTTAATTCCATGCCAATCTGTAATACTGAGAAATAAGACTACTGTTTTGAATCTCAAGAGTTACAAAGATTGAGGACATCCTAACACCAAAAGCAAGAACATCCTCAATTCATCCTTTTCTTTGTGGCCTTGCCAACAGCTGCATAGGAGGTGATTTGAGAAGTGGCTCACCCTAAAATCTGGAGAATTTATCTGGCTAGCTGTATAGAAGTACTCTGATCCTGCCCGGAGGAGAAGGAAGAAAGGCCTGGAGAGCATTTCACTCATCCGTTTTTGTTTTCCTGAGCACTCAAAACCTGGTGTGGGAAGCGCAAGATCAAGCCCTCAAGACTGGTTGGATACGTGTGATGTCAGCTGGAGTCCAGTTTGAAAAAGTCACATTAAAATTTCAGCCCTGGGCATAGCCCTAAGCATTCACTTCCAAATGAAAGCGAGGCCAATTTATATAGCCCTGCAGGCTTGCAGATGACCTAAGCCTTTTACAATAAGAAAATGAAGTCATGTTGTTGGCCCCTGGAGCACTCCACCACTCCCAGCCCTGACTTTCCTTTTAGGCTAGCAGTCAGTCTCCTGAGCTAACTTGGTAGCTATCACTTTGCATATCTCAGAATCTAGTGTGTTAGGTAAGCATTTAACTCTCCCTGGGGACTGTGCTGCAGGAAGAAAATGGGTGGCAGCAAGAAACAGATGGGAAGGGCCTGTCAGACAACATCTTGAGCACCCCTCAATGCCAGCCTGCAGTTTCAGCATGTATCTTGGTCTCCCATCTCCAGGTGCCAGATCATCCTGAGCATCTCCAGTAAAATCCATCCTAGAGAACGTCTCCCACATATCCACCTGATGTCCCAGTCAATAGGGAGTTGACTGTCTCCTTTGTAGTCAGGCTTAGTGACTCTTCATGACTCTTCACCATAACCTCATGCTCCCAAGATGATGCTCCAGGGACCCTGTAGGTCTTCTCCAATGCAGCTGGAAGGTCTGGACAATGAGGATACACCAATGGATAAAATCTCATAGCCCTTGCCCTCAAACAGTACAGATACTGAAAAGGGAAAAAAAGAAAACTGAACAACGTGAAATGTGCTGTAACAAGAGTACTGTAGGATCCTATGAGGGTTTAAGAGGGGTCACATCTAATGTTAACATTGAAGGACAAGTAGGAGTTACCAACTAAACATGTCAGTTGCCAAGGGAGGAAGGTCTTCCATGAAGCCACATTGCAAGAGCCAGAGGTAACGATGAGAATGCAAGTTGGGCTCAACTGAAAGAGGCTCAAGTCAGTTCCCCCCATGAGCTATGTTAGAGCATTGAGAATACTCAAAGAGCAAGGAGCAGTCAGTGAAGGGTTTTAAGTGCTATAGATACCATCAGGGTTGCATTCAGAAATTCAGCTCTGGCTATAGCATTGTAAACTGGGAAAAGCCTGAGAAGAGAGACTTTTTGGAAGATGTAAAACCTCTCCCAGAAGATCCTCATAGCCCCAGAGCAATAGTGGAAACATATGTGTAGCATCCCATTTTCTTGGGTGTACATCTAACCAGTGGCATCAACTGGACATCCCTGCAGGTCAAATATAATGGTGTAGGAATGTTCTTGATCAGTATACTGATTAAAATACCTATGAGTTTATTTAAAAAAATAAATAAAGTCGGATATGCCCCTCACCACTATGTTTTCCTAAAGTCCACTTAAGTTACAATACTGGGATGGCTTCTGTGAGAATTTAGGGTTTGAGAACTTGTGAGATAAAATATGAAACTTTCGCTCCAATTACTCTATAAAATCATCATCCTTTTAGTCATATGGACCACGATAATGGGAACAACCCAATCACGTAACAGCTGGAATGGCTGCTGTCAGCATTTGAGTCTGGAAACTGTTCAGATAAAACATCGTACTTTTTCTCAAGTTATTCTATAAAAATCACCATCCTTTTGGCCAGAGGGACAATGATAATGGGAATAACACATCTATGTGCCAGGCAGCCATGTGGGATTCCAAGAAGTAAAAGGTCACCTCTTTTGGAGAAGATACACATAAACAATCAGCAAAGACTTGATTAGATACTTGACCAATGAACAGGTACATTGAAAAGAGATACAGAACCATTACTAATTAGGGAAAGGTGAATGGAAGCCACAATGAAGAACCACTTCACACTCTCTTGGACTGGCTATGACAAAAAAAAATAAAGACAACAACACATGTTAGCAAGAAGGACACAAAGAAACTAAAACCTCACACGTTGTTGGGGTATAAAATGGCACAGCCACCAGATAATAGTTACCCTAAAACCCAGCAATTCCTCTCTCAGAACTTCTTGTGATAAAAATAAAAGCACACATTCCCTGCACATGCGCAGCAACATTATTTATAATAGTCACCTGTAAACCATCCAAGTGATCATCAACGAGTGACTGGATAAAACAAATGTGGTTTATCCATATGGTGGAATACTGCTCAGAAACATGAATGTATGAGTGCTACTACACACCACAACATGCTGGGACCTCAAAAAGCATGTGAAGCAAAAGAGGTCAGTACCCAAAGACCATGTGTCACACAATTCCCTGTATATGCAAAGTCATGGAGTGTCACAAATATAGAGATAGAGAACAGACTGCTAGCTGCCTGCAGTAGGAGTGGGAGCAGAGACTGACTTCCAAGGGACACGTAAGATCTTTAGAGAATACTGAAGATGATTAAAGATCAGTCACTTAACTCTACAAGTTTACCAAAAATCACTTAATTATATCCTTAAAATGACTCAATATTAAAGAATATAAATTATACCTCAAAGAGGCTGTTTTTAAAAGATAATCACATACTGTGCAATTTGGACAAATGTCTCTCCAATGACTAAAAAGGCCTCCAAAGTTTTTTATGTTACCACACGCTTCTCATTAAATACATAAATGTTCTCTCAATATGTGCATTTCTTTATAAATATTAATATTTTACTATAATATATGTATAGCATAAATTAGACCCCAGAGGTAAAATTAGAAGATTTCAAACATATAAATGGTAATATTTGAATACAAGAATGTTGATGTGACCACAATGTTCTTAAGAATAAAGAATACAGAGGTTAAAATTAGTGAATAAAGTGAACTTCAGAGTAATAACCAAGTGCCATCAGAAGTTGCCAAAATTGGCTGGGGATTATGTTATGGGCAAGACCACCCATGCTTAATAAACCCTCAGAACATTCATCAAATTGAAAACCATGTTCAAAGTGATGCTGTGTTTGCATGATGAGCAACGGACATCAATCAAAATAAGCCCAGCTGTTCTGAGGATGGCAAATATTCAGAAGCATGGGATTGCAAATGCTGTTAGCAATAAATGTCAGAGAGGGAAGTTCAAAAGAAGAGGACAAAAACTGGAGGAAGGGGTCCTGCGAAGATGAAGCTACCTACACAATGCGTCCTGCTTCCAGGTGGGATGAAGTTGGTCACATCATTCTACCTATTGTGATCAAAGAGTTATTTATAAGAAATATTGTGACAGGCCGGCGCCGCGGCTCACTAGGCTAACCCTCTGCCTTGCGGCGCCGGCACACCGGGTTCTAGTCCCAGTCGGGGCGCCGGATTCTGTCCCAGTTGCCCCTCTTCCAGGCCAGCTCTCTGCTGTGGCCAGGGAGTGCAGTGGAGGATGGCCCAAGTGTTTGGGCCCCGCACCCCATGGGAGACCAGGAGAAGTACCTGGCTCCTGCCATCGGATCAGCGCGGTGCGCCAGCCGCAGCGCACCGGCCGCCGCGACCATTGGAGGGTGAACCAACGGCAAAGGAAGACCTTTCTCTCTGTCTCTCTCTCACTGTCCTCTCTGCCTGTCAAAAAATAAAAAATAAAAAAAAATTGTGACAAATTTATGTAGAGTTATAATAGCTATTAAAACTATAAATAAGTTTGCTACATCTGATACTGTTAGTCTTTAACCTTTTCTCCTGGAGTTGTATGTTACAAAAATAATTTCAATCAGCTTTGATATTTACAATGTGATCCTTGTGGGGAATCACAAATAATAAATGAATACAATCAAGACAGATGGGTTCCTATTAGTGAGTTGGAAGAATCAGAAAAAGTTGGATGGGTGACTTGGGGATTTGTCACTCCCCCTCTTCGTGGAGGAACGACACAGGACCCTGCGCTGTTCTTTCGTCTGCTCGGCCCTCCCCGGGTTTGCTGCTGGTTCTTCCCGGGTTGGCTACTGTCCCTTCCACCTCCGTGGAAGGGCGGTTCCCCCTGGCCACATTCCCCACTTCCGCAGGGGAGCGGCACACCGCCGGCCGGCTTTCTCGGGGGCTGCACAGGTGTTCCCCTTAGATGTTCCCCTTAGATGTTCCTCGTGCATGTTGTCTCTCTCCTCCTTTATAGTCCTCCTCTGCCAATCCCAACTCGGCTGCCCACACGCCGAGTACGCTGCTCTCCTCCAATCAGGAACAAGTCCTACAGTTTATTGGTTGAACTGGAGGCAGCTGTGCAGAAGCTGTTTACTTCTCTCCCAGCGCCATATTGTGGGAGAGCAGATGCATAGAATAAGTCTTAATTCCAGTAACTCAG